AGAATTAGAGGAAGATATGAGAAGATGGAAAGATCTCCCATGCTCATGGCTTGGCAGGATTAACATAGTAAAAATGGCCATCTTACCAAAAGCAATCTACAGATTTAATGCAATTCCCATCAAATTGCCAACACAATTCTCTACAGACCTGGAAAGAAAAATTCTCAACTTCGTATGGAATAACAAGAAGCCGAGAATTGCTAAAACAATCCTCTACAATAAAAGATCTTCTGGAGGTATCTCCATCCCTGATCTCAAGCTGTACTATAGAGCAACAGTTATAAAAACTGCATGGTACTGGCATAGAAACAGAATGGTGGATCAATGGAATCGAACAGAAGACCCAGAAATAAACCCACACACTTACGGACACCTGATTTTTGACAAAGATGCCAAAACCATACAATGGAAAAAAGATAGCATCTTCAACAAATGGTGCTGGTCCAACTGGATGTCTACGTGTAGAAAAATGAAAATAGATCCATACTTATCACCCTGCACAAAAGTGAAGTCCAAGTGGATCAAAGACCTCAACATAAAACCAGACACATTAAATCGGCTAGAAAAAAAAGTGGGGAATACCCTAGAACTCATTGGTACAGGAGAAAACTTCCCGAACAGAACACCAACAGCACAGGCTCTAAGAGCAACAATCAATAAATGAGACCTCATGAAATTGAAAAGCTTCTGTAAAGCAAAGGACACCGTCATCAAAACAGAGCGACTTCCTACAGATTGGGAAAGAATCATCACCAACCCTTTATCTGACAGAGGACTCATATCCAATATATATAAAGAACTAAACAAGCTGAAAAGCAATAAACCAAGTAATCCACTTAAAAAATGGGGAACAGAGCTAAAGAGAGAATTCTCTGTAGAGGAATATCGAATGGCAGAGAAGCACTTAAAGAAATGCTCAACCTCATTAGCCATTAGGGAAATGCAAATCAAAACAACCCTGAGATTTCACCTTACACCCATCAGAATGGCCAAGATGAAAAACTCAAGGGACAACACATGCTGGAGAGGTTGTGGAAAAAGGGGAACCCTTCTCCACTGCTGGTGGGAATGTAAACTTGTACAACCACTCTGGAAATCAATCTGGTGCTTTCTCAGACAACTAGGAATAGCGCTTCCTCAAGATCCAGCTATACCACTCCTAGGCATATATCCAAAAGAGGCTCAAGTACACAAAAAGGACATTTGCTCAACCATGTTTGTAGCAGCATTATTTGTAATAACCAGAAGCTGGAAACAACCCAGATGCCCCTCAACTGAAGAATGGATGCAGAAACTGTGGTACATCTATACAATGGAGTATTACTCAGCAATGAAAAATAAGGAAATCATGAAATTTGCAGGTAAATGGTGGGACCTGGAAAGGATCATCCTGAGTGAGTTGTCCCAGAAGCAAAAAGACACGCATGGTATATACTCACTCATATAAACATACAATATAGAATAAACCCACTAAAATCTGTACATCTAAACAAACTAAGCAAAAGAGAGGACCCTAACTAAAATGTTCAATCCCCATCCTGAAAGGCAAAGAGGATGGACATCAGAAGAAAACGAAAATAGGAAACAACCTCGGAACCTGCTACAGAGGGCCTCTGAAAGCCAGAAGAAAACATGAAACAACCTTGAAACCTGCCACAGAGGGCCTCTGAAAGCTTCTGTAGTATAGATTGTCAAAGCAGATGCTGAGCCTGATGGCCAACTGATGGGCAGAGTGAATGGAATTCTACGTAAGAAGTGGGAAATAGTAAGAGCTGGAGGGGACGGGAACTCCACAAGGAGAGCAACAGAAAAAGATAATTTGAACACAGGGAACTTCCCAGAGACTCATACTCCAACCAAGTACTATTCATGGAGATGACCTGGAACCCCTGCACAGGTGTAGCCCATGGCAGTTCAGTGTCCAAGTGGGTTCCATAGTAATGGGAAGAGGGACTGCCTCTGACATAATCTGATTGGCCTGCTCGTTGATCACTTCCCCCTGAGGGGGGAGCAGCCTTATCAGGCCACAGTAGAGGACAATGCAGCCACTTTTGATGAGAACTGATAGACTAAGATCAGAAAGAAGAGGAGAACCTCCCCTATCAGTGGACTTGGGGAGTGGCATGCATGCAGAAAGGGGAGGGAGGGTGGGATTGGGAGGGGAGGAGGGAGGGGCTTATGGGGGGATACAAAATGAATAAAGTGTAATTAATAAAAAATTAAAAAAAACAATCAAAAAACAAAGTAGCACTGCACAAACCCCCCCCCCCAAAAAAAACACAAAAAAACAATTGGGTTATAGTTCAAATCACTGTGTTCTAATGCTTTCATCCCTGAATATAGAAAGGGAGTGAACACACAGATGGAGAAATGAAGATGTGTTGACCCTGTCCCAGAAGGTCACAGCAGTCCTTACGTTCACTCTTTGGTGTAGTTCAGCCCTTATTTCCTCGTCGTTCCACAGGTCTTCAGGAACAGAGTTAAAATCAGCCTGCCACTGAGATACAAATTCTTGCTTGTGATCTGGACGCCTTAGAAACTCCTGGAAATTTGTTCTGTAAAGAAGGAAGAGAATAAGACAGATCTTTGGCCTGTCCTAAACACGACAAAATTCTAACTTTGGGGACTATACTTGCCTGGTCTCATATATATAAGAGATCACAGTGTGCTGGTTTTCTCTAAGATGCCGAAGTACTGTTTTGATGTGGTTTATGTAGGATTTCTCTATCAGTTCCCAGTAAGGTACTAAAAATGAAGGTAGTTCCTGTTAAAAAGTAAATCACAGAGATCAGTGTTTGGAAATGAAAATTCCTATGGCTAGCTGAGTCAAAAGAGCACTAATGCAGTGATCCCAACTGCAACTACCTGGGGCATGGCTTTTAAATTGTCTTAGTCCTCACCTGTCTCCAGAAGACAATCCTGTTCCAGGTATTCAGCACATCTCAGAACAGACATTAATTTTTCCAGAAATCCTTTCCTGGCCCAACTTGTTTGCAAGGTTACCCTCAGATCTTCTGAGCTTTTGTCTTAGCACCTGTACCCCAGTTGTTAGGTAACATTAATTCTGGTTATATTTTATTCTAGAATGTTAGCCCCGTTTAGTCAGGGGCTATAATTGTCTTGATCAGTCCCATATAGATTTTCCCGTAATCATGTTGTATATAGAACCTAGTAAAGTCCTCAAAGATTATTTGTTGAATGAATGAATGATTACATTTTCCTCAGCTGGAAAGTTGCCTTATTTGGAGAACACCTTGTTATGAAAAAAAACGTGGACCTAGGTCACAAGAGGCTATTTAAAATAATGTCAGTGGAGTTCTGAGGGAACTGTAAGTATCTAATATGGATAAGTGAACACTTATAAGATGGTTGAACATGGAATTCTAGGCTTTTAAAAGCAAGTGGAGTCATCCAGTCTCTGGAAAATATAAGTGATGATAAAACTGAATTCAGGAACATCTGTTTGCGACCATTCACCATGGTTCTATTTTATAGAAATCCAGTACTTATGGTTAGAATTATATAGATCTAGCAAGGTTAAATTTCTGTGTCTATGATTATCACCTATTTGATAACAGAAAAATAGAAGCACTGACATTATTTTAATTGCCTTTTATGACCTAGTTCCACTATCTAATTTTTACTTTTCATCATAATCCCTCTTAAAGGAAGTAGTATCCAGAATGACTGAGGACCATTTTTTCATCATTTTCGTCACTTATTGTTGTTTTTATTTATCATCATCATCATCCTCACCGTCACCATCCTTCTTCTCTTTCTCCTCCTCCTCAAGACAAGATCTCTCTGTGCAGCCAAATCTATCCTAATCTTACTGTGCAATTCAGATTACTGCTGTCCTTTCGCTTCAGTCCATTGAGAACTGTGATTACAACTGTGCATCCATCACCCAGTTCTGAGAACCATTTAAATCACCACATGATTCTAATCAACTTCGGGCTATTATTAATGCTATCTGCCTTACTATTTAGCAATAAGAATGGGCCTCATCAATTAACATCTGCTCTCCACTTTTATTTACTTACACCTACATCATAGGAAACTTGCCAAATACTACATAAGTTACCTTGGTCATGGTGCTTCATCACAGCAACAGAAAAGTAACCAACTAGATGTTGATAAGAGAGAGTAGGCTATGGCTGTGACTGGCCTACCCACAGTGTTTTTTGAAAGAATGTGGAAGATCGTTGGACTTTGAACTAGGAAAGTGGTTGAAGAGTATAAGCAGAGCTTAATGAGCCATCCTGCTATGATCTTGGAAGAAAGTATTTCTGAGAGCCACGTGGGTTATTGAGCCCAGATTAAGAGATTACTAGGAGGACAATATTAGTGAGTGGGTTAAAGGCCCTTCTTGTGGTATTTTGGCAAAGAAGGTAATGCTTTCTGTCCTTGTCCTAAGAATTTACCCAAGGCTCAATTAAAAAGCAATGGACTAAATTCTTTGTTGGAAGAGATTTCTTTTTTTAATTTTAATTTTATTTTTATTAATTACAGTTTATTCACTTTGTATCCCAGCTGTGGCTCTCTCCTTCATCCCCTCCCAATCCCACTCTTCCTCCCTCTTGTTCTCCTATGTCCCTCTCCCAGTCCAATGCTAAGGGAGGTCCTCCTCCCCTTCCATCTGACCCTAGTCTATCAGGTCTCATCAGGACTGGCTGTATTGTCTTCCTCTGTGGCCTGGGTAAGGCTGCTTCCCCCTCAGGCAGAGGTGATCAAAGAGTCAGCCCATGAGTTCCTGTCAGAGACAGTCCCTGTTCCTATTAATGGGGAACCCTCTTGGACACTGAGCTGCCATGGGCTATATCTGTGCAGGGGTTCTAGGCTATCTCTATGAATGGTCCTTGTTGGAGTACCAGTCTCACAAAAGACCCATGTGCCCTGATTTTTTTGTTCTGTTACTTTCCTTGTGGAGCTCCTATCCCCTCCAGGTCTTTCTATCTCCCCCTTCTTTCATAACATTCCCTGTACTCTGCCTTAAGTTTGGCTGAGTCTCTGCATATGTTTTAATACCCTGCAGGGCAGAGTCTTTCAGAGGCCTTCTGTGATAGGCTCCTGTTCTGTTCCCTGCCTTCTCCTTCTTCCGATGTCCATTCTGTTTGCCTTTCTGAATGAAGATTGAGCATCTTACCCTGGTTCCTCCTTCTTAATCAGCTTCCTTAGGTGTACAGATTATAGTATGATTATCCTATATGTCTAATATCCACTTATTAGTGAGTATATATCTTATGTGTCTCGGAACAAAATGACAGCTTACAGATTGGGAAAGGATCTTCACCAACCTTATATCTGACAGAGGATTAATATCCAGACTATATAAAGAACTTAAGAAGTTAAACAGCAACAAATCAATTAAAAATGGGGTACAGAGCTAAATAGAGAATTCTCAACTTAGGAACACTGAATGGCAGAGAAACACTTAAAGAAATGCTCAACATTCTTAGTGATCAGGGAAATGCAAATCAAAACGACCCTGAGATTTCACCTTACACCCATCAGAATGGCTAAGATCAAAAACTTAAGTGACAACACATGTTAGAGAGGATGTGGAGAAAGGGGAACCCTCCTCCACTGCTGGTGGGAATGTAAACTTGTACAACCACTTTGTAAATCAATCTGGTGTTTTTTCAGACAATTAGGAATAGTGTTTCCTTAAGAGCCAGCTATACCACTCCTAGGCATATATCCAAAATATGCTCAAGTGTACAACAAGGACATTTGCTCAACCATGTTTGTAGCAGCTTTATTTGTAATAGCCAGAACCCAGAAACAACCTAGATGTTCCTCAGTTGAGGAATGGATACAGAAATTGTGGTACATTTACACAATGGAATATTACTTAGCAATTAAAAACAAGGAAATTGTCAGGCAAATGGTGAGAAATAGAAGACCATCCTGAGTGAGGTATCAGAGAAGCAGAAAGACACACATAGAAGACATTTCAAGACAGCCTAATATTCACTTTGTTGCATGGCTATTAGTATTCACTCTTATATAGTTCTACAATGAGAAGGAGCAAGTGGGCCAAAAAGAAATACAAAATTCACAGTCCAAAGAGAAAAAAGGAATTTCACAGCCAAAGTTTGTGCTGAGATTAAGGCCTGTTCTTCATTGGTACATTGGGAGGTGCCTTCAAGGCAGATCCACACAGCAAAGCTTCTAAGATGTGGAAATAAAAGGACGAAAATGCAACAACAATGGAAAACTTAAGCAAATGTGATTCACAGAGGGCAGACTCCATCCTGAGGGCAGAAAAATTTAGAAGTGTTATTCAGATTCACATGACTCTGGCTTTAGGGTAATGGAGGATATACAAAGAGTGCTGGACTCTTCCTCTGTGGTTAAGGACTACCACTGATGCTAGGCATTGTGCGATATGGCATTCCATGCATGAAGGCCTTGACAGGGCAAGAAGACCTGAGAGGTCTTTGCACAAAGCTGTGAAATGACACGTGAGTTGTGTTGGTGACCCTACCATGTTAGAGGTGCCAAAACTATGGCACATATGCCGAGAAGAGTAGAGCACAGAATGGAATCAGCCCAAGAGAGACCAGTGTGTTGAAGGCCACAAAGAGAAAAGCGGGGATATCTAAGCCCTCTAATATCAAATCTGAAACTTCAGGACTTGAAGTTTTTTTTGATAGTTTTTGGTATAACTCTGATCCCACATTTCCTCATCAATCCCCCATTTCTCCATGTAGGAATGGTAATGCATATTATGTGCAATTTTATGTTGAGAGTATGCAATTTGCCTTTTGATTTTATAGGGGCTACAGTTCAGAGATTGCCTTGAAGAAACTTTGAACTTCAGACTTTGAAACATCGCTAAGACTAAAAGACTATAGAGATTTTTGAAGTTGACTAAATGCATTTTGCTTTATGATGTGCCACATATCCATGGAAGCAAGGAACAGAATGTGGTAGTCTGGAGGGGAATGCGCCCCTAGGCTCATGTGTTTGAATCTTGGTCTCCAGTTTTTGGAACTGTTTGGGAAGGACTAGAAGACATGGCCTTGTTGAAGGAAGTGTATAAACTTTCAGCCTTCCCTTGCTGTCATGGAGGAACCCAGACTATGTACATTTCCTGATGTATTGATGACATACACTGCAAACACTGTTCCACTTTCTGTCCCTGAGGTTCATTCGCTTCCTACAAGAGTTCACTCGGAGATTTATGTATGGGAGCTTGTATCACATCTCAGTATTAATTTTTATTTTAATTTCTTTTGGTGGATCCCAAGGGATAAGATTTAGTTGTTTGAGATATCATTCCACATCCAATACCAAATAATGATTGCATTTTATTTCCCCAGACTTCTATTCTGTTTCTGTCACAAACTTGGAACATTCTGAAAATGTATGGGGTGTGTCTGAGTATGTATACATTCAAAGTAGCTTCTGCTTGCTTACCTGAGTGTTATCCATTTATGTGGACACACACACACACACACACACACACATATATATGCAAACATACATACACACACATACCCATATATTATAGAACCATTTACATGGTTCATATTAAAGTATTTTCCAATTTTATCCATGTTACTAGTTAAGTCATTCATCAGGAACCTATGAAGATTCTTTCATATACTGTTGACTGCCTGATTCCTTTAATGCAGTGAGCTATGCTCTATACTCCTTCCACAAAGAATTTGAATGAAGCCTATTGTGGGGAATAAAACATCTCCAGAAGAGGTTAACAACAGCTATAACACAACTCCTGAGGAGAAGCCTTGGATCTCCAATGTTGGATACAGATGAACCTGCCTGAGTTTATCAGTGTAAGCAACCACTGTGGATTGGAATAAAAAGATAAAACTGATTCTTGGAAACAACCCCCTTATCTTTTTTTTTTTTAATTTGTAAGGTTTTCTCCCAACATGGTAGATTTATATTTGAGGACCCAGGCCCAGGTAGCAATTGGTTTACATCTGTTATAGGAAAATGACCCCTTCTGTCCCTCCTTGTCTAGCACGCTAGTTGCACACTCTTGGTTAGGTAGCTGCCTTATGGTTTAGGTACCTTAATACATTTCTTCCAGTTCTAAAAAGCCAGAGGTCAAATTTTATCTGGAAGTATTATTATAAGGTATTAGTGTGCAAATGGGGCAGGCACTATAAATTTGCTGGATACATATCCAGCAGAAGTCCTTCTTCTAAGAAACTGCTTCTCTGCTTGTCCTTAGCAGAAAATTGGAACTCAGAAGCTATTTGCTCCTCTTATTTCAATAATCAAGAGCAGTTTCAAAGTATGACTCAGAAGTTCAAATCCAAGGGAGAAAACTGAAATGCAGTTCATTGACAAGTCTCTAGAAAATTTTTTGTAGTCCCTGACCCCACCCCTTTGGTATTGTGGACTGAATCCAGGATCTGATTTTGCATTCTAACAGTGAACTGCAAATCCAGGCTTATCTCAGCTTTTGATAAATGTATACCTAGTCCTGGCTCCAGAAGGATTTTAGATGTTTGAAATGTGGCGACACTTGACATAAACAGGATAAATGATTCTGCTAGTTTGATTCTAAGGTGCCATACCTCAGGTATAGGCTCATTCACATAGACCCAGTCTTCGGATCCTGGCTTAGGGTGTGGCGGTACTGATGATTGTATGGGTGATGATTCGAAAGAGGAGACAACAGGTGATTTCTTCGCTGGAGTTTTGCCTCCTTGTCCTTTCCCTTTAAGAGAAACTTAGACATGTATATTAAACCATACCAGTGCAGGCAACAGGAGAGGTTTCTGAGGATGACAAAGTCTGTGATTGCTATGGGATTCAGGACACTTGTTGATTACTCTTTTAGCTTCTTCAGATAGTTTTACTAATTCAAAGATATATAACAATTGTCTCATTTGCTGTAGTCCATGCATTAACCAATACTACTGCTGCTGCTGCTACTGAGTTGTTTTGTAATTTTTTTAAATTAGAAAATGAATCCAGTTTTCTTTATTTAAGGATGAATTGGTCTCTAAAGCTATATACATACATATATATATATATATATATATATATTTATAATTTATTACAATTTATTCACTTTGTATCCCTGCTGTGGCTCCTCCCTCGTCTCCTCTCAATCCTGATTCCAACAACTCAAATCTGTCTGGCCGTTACAGTTTGGTACTTTACTTTCACTCAGGTCTTCTTCTCTAAGGCATGTGTGGCTCTTACAGAGTTTAGGATTAAAACATTAACAACTCTGTTTAAGTTTCCTATTGTAAAAACTGGCAAATTAAATTCCTTATGTCAAATAAGAAAGAGTGTGTCTATAACATAAATGGGGCTTGTGTGTGTCTGTTGGGACCAAGAGCAGAAGTTAGATGAGAGAATTGGCCGCTGAAGCTCACGGACCTTCTCATATTCTCTACAGGTTAGAAAGGATTTCTAAAAAGATGTTATTTCTTGTTATGGTCAGGCTTTAAATTTAAGAATAGAAAATCAGTGAGGGAGGGAAGGAGACATGGGGGAAGGTAAAAATAGAAGCAAAAAATGTGAGGGTAAGGGAATGGAGGAGGGTTAGGTAAGTAAGAGGAGGTGAAAGCCATGTATGTTCTAATTTATAATCGGAATAGGAAATATACTTCTCTTTGCCCAATGAAGACAGCAACCCAGACTACTTACATGGTTTCCTTATATTATGAGCACAGGTATACTGTAAAAGGATCAGTATATTTTTTCATTAGATCACTCAGGCTAAATTCCACCTACCTTCAGATTAATTGTTAAAAACTATATGTGCAGTTTAGAGTTGGCTTTAACACGGGGAACACTTTCTTTCTCCTAAAGGCATTATTCTAATGAATATAGTTTAGTGATGCTCTCTAAATATCTTTAATTTTATGTTAATTAAAATGCATGTTTTTTAAGTTTCTTATCAGGTGATTTTTCAAGTGATTTCTGCATACATAATTAAATCAATATTTATTAATCATCCATACACCTGTGGACAAGCTAAAAGTGTTCATAATTAGATATATTTTTCTGTATGATTCTTTACCATTCATTATGAACTGCGACGATTTTAAGATAGAGTTCTCTCTAAAAGGAAAAGTGTGTAATTATAAATTGAGAATTAGAATAAGCTTTTCCCCTTCTTTTAAAAATATTTTTCCCTATCAGTGGTACTTGGGCATGGGAGGAGATGAGGGAGGGAGAGCAGGAATGGGAGAGAATGAGAGAGAGGGCTACAGCTGGGATGCAAAGTGAATAAATTGTAATTAATATAAAAAATAAAAATTAAAAAAAACAAAAATATTTTTATCATTTAGTGAAAATTAGCAGAGGTGGAATAGTTTTTGAATAACTGTGCATTGAGACCATAGTGAATGTATTGAATGTTTAGCAATGAAATTACCTAGAGAAGGAAGATTTTAAAGGGAAATAAGTATGTCTATACCTCAATGAGTGAAAGAAGTGACATCGAAGCCATTTTTTAATTACCTATTTAAATCTAATGAGGCAAATCATATGAGGGCTTTAGTTTCTAGAGTGAGATCACTGAGTCTTTGCTATAGCCATTCCTCATGGGTAAATGGTTTAAAGAAAAACTCGTGTTTAGTACATCATACTAAACATCATACTAAACTCATGTTTAGTACTTCGGTTTTAGGAAATATTTGTTTTGATAAATGATAACTTGATAGTCTCCTAACTGGTTATCCAGCCCTAATTGGTCAGCCGAAAAAACATTCCCATTAAGCCAAGATGATTATAAATTAAAATAAGTGACAGAGAAAACTTCAATTTTCAGGCAAACTGGTGGATTTATGTTAAAAGTAAAGACATGTTTAGGTAAAGATGAAATGACAGAGTAATAAATTTGAGAAAAATAATTAAAGAAAGGAATAACAGAAAAATACACTAGTGGTGATTTAGGAATGAGCTAAGCAATTAAAAGTCAGAAGTTTAAAGTAGAATTTAAAACTAAGGATGAAATAAGTAATTGAATAAAACCACATTGATTGATGAGAGGAGAACATTAAGAAATCGGAACACTTTCTAATCAAATTAGTGTTTCTCAGGGAGGGGAGAGAGGTGAGAGGAGGCATTTGTTGGGAGGACGCAAACATAGAGTCTGATGTATATATTTTAAAGCAAGATATTATTATTATTGTTGTTGTTGTCAGTTAGTTAGTCCTAAAATATTCCCTGTGGGTACCTGACTTGATTAGTATCTTTACTGGATGAAGCCAAAATATTGGTTAGCAAGGATTACTTTCATAATTTTTAATTTTAACAACTTTTGCTAACAGATACAGAGCGTTAATGGCTGACTGAGCTGCAAAGAACAGCTGCCAAAGTTTGATGCAGATCAACTCAGACGAGATGAGCATTTTAGCTTAGAAGTGGAACAGACTGAAGGAACGCAACCAGGGAGAGAGGGTGCCAGTGTCAGGCAAAGAAAGAGTCAGAGATTGAATACACAGTGAATCTGCTGAAAAGGAACTTTGGCAAAGCTCATGAAGGAACGTCGTCTCTGTTCAGGGTCCTAGGATTTGTATTGTTCTGCATCATGGAATCAGCCATATGTAACTGATAAAATGGGATCATTTATGAAATCTGCCTTTATTATAGTTGTTCTTACAATCTGTACATCAATTCTGCATCTACAACGAATTGCCTATACCCAAGGATCAGGGAACATCACAGAAGTCGGGGTAGAAAGATTATAAGAAAGACCTAGAAGACCAACACATCTGTTGTGAGATTATGTCTTATACATAGCACTTGGGGCTGCACCCATGAAATCTCAGCAATATGGTAGCCTAAACCATACCTGAGCAATGGCAACACGAGTTGGCATGTCATGGGGATGGGGAAATCTCTCAAGGTTCCACCCCTATAGACAAGTAATACTGAGTCATTCCTAATAACATGTACATAGGAGAAATACTAAATGGACTTCAGAAGTCATATTTATATGAATGTGTATATGTAAAAATGACACAGTAAAAGCAAAAAAAATAGCGGTGAGAATATACACATATTAGTAATATTTAAAAAAGAAAAGTTAATGCTTTGAGAAGACATGGGGGTGTAAACAGGAAGAGTTCGAGTAAGGACAGAGGGAAGGTGGAAATGATGTCAATACAGTAATTATGAGTGAATTTTAGAAAAAATAAACATTTAAACTAAAAGGTAAATAAAAGTATGATTCCACTTACGTTGTAAAAAGAAAATGAGAAAGGACATGAGGTTGGTAGAGTGAGAAGTAGGGATAGATATGAGGAGCAAAGGGTTAATAGGAGGAAAAACATTGTATGGAATTTGCAAAGAATTAGTAAGATATTTAAAGGACAAAGTTGAGAGGGATGCTTGTTAGGCTCAGGGTGAGTTGGCAGGAAGGAATAGATAAGAATATGATTAAGAACATGTACATGTCCTTATTGTGTACTTGAGCCTCTTTTGGATATATGCCTAAGAGTGGTATAGCTGGATCTTGAGGAAGCACTATTCCTAGTTGTCTAAGAAAGCGCCAGATTGATTTCCAGAGTGGTTGTACAAGTTTACATTTCCACCAGCAGTGGAGGAGGGTTCCCCATTTGCTCAACCATGTTTGTAGCAGCTTTATTTGTAATAGCCAGAAGCTGGAAATAACCCAGATGCCCCTCAACTGAAGAATGGATATAGAAATTATGGTATATCTACACAATGGAATATTACTCAGTAATGAAAAAATAAGAAAATCATAAAATTTGCAGGCAAATGGTGGGAACTGGAAAGGATCATCCTGAGTGAGCTGTTCCAGAAGCAGAAAGACACACATAGTATATACTCGCTCATATAGACATAGAATATAGGATAAAACTACTAAAATCTATACATCTAAATAAACTAATCAAGAGGGAGGACCCTGACTAAAAAGCTCAATTCCTATCCCGAAAGGCAAAGAGGATGGACATCAGAAGAAGAAAACAGGAAACAGGACAGGAGCCTGCCACAGAGGGCCTCTGAAAGGCTCTGCTCTGTAGACTATCATAGCAGATGCTGAGACTTATGGCCAACTGTTGGGCAGAGTGCATGGAATCTTATGAAAGAAGTAGGAAATAGTAAGATCTGGAGAGGACAGGAATTTCACAAGGAGAGCAACAGAACCAGAAAATTTGAACACAGGGGTCTTTCCAGAGACTCATACTCCAACCAAGTACCATGCATGGAGATAACCTAGAACCCCTGCACAGATGTAGCCCATGGCAGTTCAGTGTCCAAGTGGGTTCCATAGTAATGAGAAGAGGGACTGCCTCTGACATGAACTGATTGGCCTGCTCTTTGATCACCTCCCCCTGAGGGGAGAGCAGCCTTTCCAGGCCACAGAAGATGACAATGCAGCCACTCCTGATGAGATCTGATAGACTAAGATCAGAAGGAAGGAGAGGGGACCTCCCTTATCAGTGGACATGGGGGAAGGGCTGAATGATGCTACTACCATCAAGAAATAATAAGATTGTTTCCAGCTTCTGGCTATTACAAATAAAGCTGCTACAAACATGGTTGAGCAAATGTCCTTATTGTGTACTTGAGAATCTTTTGGATATATGCCTAGAAGTGGTATGGCTGGATCTTGAGGAAGTGCTATTCCTAATTGTCTGAGAAAGCGCCAGATTGCTTTCCAGAGTGGTTGTACAAGTTTACATTTCCACCAGCAGTGGAGGAGGGTTCCCCTTTCTCCACAACCTCTCCAGCATGTGTTGTCTCTTGAGTTTTTGATCTTAGCCATTCCGATGGGTGTAAGGTGAAATCTTAGGGTCATTTTTATTTGCATTTCCCTAATGGCTAATGAGGTTGAGCATTTCTTTAAGTGTTTCTCTGTCATTCAATATTCCTCTGCAGAGAATTCTCTGTTTAACTCTGTACCCTATTTTTTAATTGGCTTACTTGATTTTTTTGCTGTTTAACTTCTTTAGTTCTTTATATATACTGGATATTAGCCCTCTGTCAGATGTAGGGTTGGTGAAGATCCTTTCCCACCAAGGACTATGTACAGAGATAACCTAAGACCTCTGCACAGATGTAGCCCATGGCAGTTCAGTATCCAAGTGGGTTCCATAGTAATTGGAATAGGGACTGCATCTGACATGAACTGATTGGCCTGCTCTTTAATTACCTCCCCCTGAGGGGGAAGCAGCATTACCAGCCCACAGAAGAAGACAATGCAGTCACTCCTGATGAAACCTAATTGACTAGTATCAGAAGGAAGGAAAAGAAGACCTCCCCTATCAGTGGACTTGGGGAGGGGTATGCATGCAGAGGGTGGAGGAAGAGAGGGATTGGGACGGGAGGAGGGAGGGAACCACAGGGGGGATACAAAGTGAATAAAGTGTAATTAATAAAGAAAAATAAGAAATAATAAGATTGAAGAAATAAAAAGTGGTACCACTACTTTTAAGAGAGGCTTCAAGTGTAACTGTGATATAATGGCCTGTAAGGTAAACAAATCATTGTGTCCAGTGTCACTGGCACTAATTTCAAATATTAAGAAGTAAAATAGTATACCTTTTTTATGAAGGAAATACTGTTTTAAACACCCAAACAATAGCATGTCTAGACTGTTATAAGTAAAGAAAATTCTAAATCTGATTCAAAGTTCCTGTTTATAATGATTTCATCTATTTGTTTGTTTGTTTAAGGAATTTTATGCATATGAGTAATTTGTCTTCATGTATGTATGTGTAGTATGTTCCTGTGGAAGACAGAAAAGGGCAACAGAATCCCTGAATACAGAGTTTTGGATGATTGTGAGCCTCCATGGTGGTGGAGAATGGAATAGAACCTGAGTCCTCTGTAAGAGAAGCAATCTCACTAGCCCCTAAAATTCACCTTTTCAGATATCATTTCACCTTTATAAACTAGAAAACTAAAACAAAAAATGAAAATAGAAATCCTTGAGTTAATTAAAGTGAGCTAGTGAATGCATATGTTTTACTGTCAAACTTGCATGGTTGTTTAGTGTTGGTATGTTTCTGAATAAGGCTGCTCTTAGAATCTACATACTGCTACATCTAGCTTATGCTTTGGCACCAAATAACAAATATGTGAACTTACTGTGTTTTTCTTGTGTGCATACAATCATCTTTCATTTGAGTGTTGTTTGGGAACAATTAAAATGCAAGAGATAGGTAATATAAAGTGGGGAATTGCTCTGAGTGGTAAAAAAAAAAAATTAAAAGCCAAGTATAAATTGCAGCTGTTAGAATTTCAATTAAAACTGTATCTCAGTGTTGATTCCCTACCATAACCAGTTATAAATGCCTACAGTATCACATAATCCTGACCAGATTGCCTTTAACAGTAATATGCTAAAAATTATGTTCATTTTAACTTAAACCTCTGTAAATATATGTATATATATATATATATATATATATATGGCATGTATGAACAATTAAGATATTATTTACTATAATTGTAATACAATGACCTGTGAGATAAATAACTGTGTCAGTGTCAGTGGCATTAATTTCAAATAATATGAAATATATATACACACATACACAAACAATCATGACTGTTAAAAATTGTGTGCATAATATTGAGATATATATTGAGATGAGCATAACATTTAGAACGTTTTGTGACTATCACCCGCTTTTAGACTAAAACTGAATCGGGACGGGAACTTATGATAGATATTTAGTAAAAGTACATCCTCCAAGACAGTTAACACTGGGAAAGTATGCTGAAATAAGTCAAGTATATGAATTCATTGCATTTCAATAGTTAATCAATTTTTTTTTTTCAGTAGCAACAACATGAATCTAACTAACATGTTTTAGAGCTTGGATGTCTTCTGTAAACTATTATGTACTTCAAAAATAATAGTTACCTTATTTTAAATAAATAGATAAAATAAAACAGACAACTATAAATACAAGTAGAGTCAGAAAATAATGCAAGATCAAAACCAGAAGATTACAAAGGGAGCCATGGCGGTCCCAGCCCTTGCACAAGTTCTGAGATTCAGGTGCTACTGTGGCTCTAAACTTTTAGAAGCCAAGATAATAAAATGTAAAGCTAAAACACACTCATTATATAATCATCACTTGGCAGAAGGTGGTTGTCCATGCCTCTTGATTTCAAGTGAAATTTCTCACTTAGGATCTCATATGTGAGCTACTGAGTGACAAAATGACACACTTGCATTCCAGAAACTGTACTAGCCGGTCATTACCGACACAAAGAAAAGTTTTAGCTCCACTTCTATGTTGCGTTACAAAGAAAAATGAGGACCTTACACCAAGGTACTTATTAGTGAATACATTTTAATAAGAAGCCAAAAAGGGGACAGTAGAGGTTTTTTTTTTTTTTGGCAGCAAAGCTTAGCTCCTGATAACACCTATAATATCTATGATGAATGGATACTCTGCCTATTAGGCAACCATTTTGTTACCCTCGCAAGTATCACTTTTCTCGTCAAGGCCCTGGCTACACACTAGCCTGCACAGAGTGTGACACCATTTTCTCTGGAATGAACTAATGACTTACAAAGGCCCCCAAAGAAGTAGTCACAGTATATACTTCTTGCTACACTTTATGGCCGTTTCCAGGTGACAGTTATAAAATGCAGGATACATGTAACAATAGCTAACTTTAACTGCTGTACCTTTCCTTTGAATGCAGTCTCACCTTTCTTTCCTTTTCCTTCTTGTTGAGATTCTTGCTTACCATGCAGGGTGTCTAAACAAAATTCAATACATAAATACCATTGATGACTTATTTCAATAGCCCAGGTTGTGCAATCTCTAAGCAATCAAATATATTTGTGAACTGTATCAAACTGATCATTTTTTTTCCTGTGAGTTGAAATCAATCTGAAGACAGACCCTACATTTCCCCTTATAATAATAGTACCCACAATTCTATTCCATATTGCCGTTCTAAGAAATTTAATCTCAGCATTAATGGACTTGTTCATATTCTCTCATGGGATTATAGAGTTTTTAAGGTAAGTCGCAAGTCCATCTGAAGCATGCAGTTTATTTGGATTTACTGTATCAAAATGACCTTAATTTACCAGAACCAGCCCCCCAAAGCAAGCATGGAAAGGTGCTTGCCCCCCTATCATGCAAGCTGGATAATCCAAGTTCACCACCTGGAGTTTCCATAAAGACGGGGAAAACTGGCTCCAGTTGTTGACCCCGAATACCATGCACACATGCTCATACGACAACTGGATCACTAATATAAAAAAGCCCTTGAGGAAGATTTTAATGGCAACATTGTTCTGATATGATACAGCCTTAGCATTTTTATTTTTTATTTTTGGCCATGCACCGCATTGCCTAGTGACTTCTATATTTCCAACTGCAGCGACTCCAATTGCAATGCAAAAGATAACTTGGCATATTTATTTTACATTCTCTAGGATTTAGTTAAAGGTATACTGCAGAAAGAGGGAAACTGAAAACTGCAGAATCTGGAGGTCAGTACTATGTCTTTTAAATAGTAAACAAAGAATAGGTCCCTGAGAAAATAACTTGCTGCTACATACTATATTAGTTACCAACATGCTCAATTATTCACTTCTTTTGATCGTAGGATATGCACTTTCTTTAATGAATAAATAAGACAATTTGAATTATTATGATGTAGATATCGACTTCAATCCATTTTTGTGTGTGCGCTTAGAAGTACAATTTAAAATTACATAAATACATGTTATTTTCATTTGAACATTTCCTGTCTGATTGCCAAGATTACAGAAACAAACTAGAAATGACACAGAGGATAATCCTCAAAACAGTTTTACCTAAAAGGACTTTTAAATATACACATATTTGACAACAAATTTCAAAAAGATCTACATGTTTGAATCAGTTTTGAAATGGAGATCTGTATTCTAGAATTGAACTTGGACCAAATCTGCTAGGATTAGGTATACTGTGCCTCCTGCATTCAATTTTCACGCTAGTGTTTCAGCTGTTATTTAAAAAAAATATTTTTTTCATGTTAAATTTCTCTTTGAAAAAGTAAAGAAGACACCGTAACTTGCTTAGGCAAAGTCTTTTCTTGGTGCTGCTGGGCAGCTCTCTTCATCTTTCAACGTTTTGATGCCTGTGAGCACTAAGATTTCCCACCAGTATTGTTTTGTGTTTGGATATGACTAAACAAGTGGAAATGAAGCATATTATGTATTTGTTTGTATAATATATATATATATATATTTATATATATACGCCCTTGTTTTGTTGGAAAAGAAAGAGACGGGTACAATCGCTCATTGAAGCCAAAGCAGATTTATTATCCCCAGTGTACACTGTTCAAGGTTACAGCTTTAAAATAGAAAATTAATCCTCCAAGCACTTAAATATTCAACTGTGTCAGCATCAGAACGGCTGGAGATTGGAATCAAGAAAGGTGCAGTTACACCAATATTTGATTATAAGCAAGCTCATAAGACTGTGATGGATAATTCTCCAGCATGAGAAAAATGCTTTGCAAGTCTAAATAACATTTTAATTTTTCTTCTAAACCTTTAAATTATATTTTCTAATCAGTAATGAACTTGTAGGAATATATATTAAATTAAACATACATAACATATATTTACTTTAAATTGTATTTATTTATTTATTTTATAATTTATTCACTTTATATCCCAATTGTAGCCCCCTCCTTCATTTAGAGAGATGGCTCAGCTGTTAGAGGCTAGACTCACAACCATAAATATAATATATATTTAAAATGTATTTTCTAATTCCTAATGAGCCCATAGAAATATATTTAAATATATATTAAATATATATGACTTTGCATTTCACTGTTTTGTGCTAAAAGCATTTTTAAATATCTACATATCTTGTATTTAGCTAAGGCCAGATTTATTGAAGTACAATGGTCTTTAATACAACACATCATTATCTGTGTCATTTAAAATGACTTCAATCATATGAAACAAAGTGTTTTGTCTCAAAATTTTTGCTTACTATTATTACACTTAATTTTGTAATTAACTATAGATTTACGTCAAATGTCCATGCAGTGAAAATATTGTTGGAGGCAGTTACGACATACCGAGGGCAGGAACTGAGATAGAAAACTAAACAAACGGCTAAGCACTCATGAGGCCATGTCACATGCCAAACTGATGTTGGTGTCACACAAATATCACTAGGACAAGGGTTAAATATGTAGATTTTGTCATGATCATTTTCTGTCACTTCATGTTAAATTTACAGTCCTCAGTGGCTACGGATATATAACAAAACTTATCTAAAATGTATTTTCTGCAAGGTCTTTTTCTACAAACATTTAAGTTTGCTGAGGTGTCAGGTTGGGTGTGTGTGTGATGTGCACGCACAGGTATGCACGCCCGCAAACCATGCACATGCCATGCTAAGTGGGTGGAGGTTAGAGAATATGTTTTGAGACGGGGTCCTTTCCTCTCACTACATGAGTCTTGGGGCTGCAACGCGGGTTGTCACTAAGTGTCTTTACCCGCTGAGCTCTCTCCCTGTCGCCATCTGTGCCCTTTCTGTGACCACCTAAGCGGATATTTCTGGATGTACATAAATGCAAGTGTTCAATGAATGCTGTCCAATAGCTGTCCCCTCTACCTGCCCTGAAGCCCCTGTCACTCTGCAACCTTCCTCTCCCCATCTGCACTTCTCGAAGCAGCTGGCCTGATTGGGGTGGCTCCACAGCTCCTACGGAACACAAAAGACACTGAGCTTCTTAAACAAGCATTTTGCTCAGTAGGACAGCTTTTCCTTGAAAGAAGGTGCAGCCTCTGAGAGACCCTGAGAGAATGTTCAACACCATAAAAAGATTAAACTAAAACGATTATTCCCTTTTCTTGGCATGGATATTTGTTTTACATGCTTGAAGTCTCTGCAGTCTGAATCTAGCAAAGTAGCCTGATTTATCATTCTTTTCTATGTGAAAACAAGAAACTGACAAACCATTTATAGATCACTCTGTCAGTCACCTGATTGGGCCTTTCCTTTCCCAGGATACATTTTTGGTGGCTCCTGGTGAGGATGAGTCTCTTCTTTTTCTGCTTCAGAAGGAGGGGGAAGAATCACAACAGGAGTCTCAGCCAAGGCAGCTGCCGCCTTTTTCTCAGCTTCCTTTTCTTCCAATTTCTTTTCAACTTCAGATGGATGATAAAAATGAAATTTCATTAGGAACTTTGGGTACCCATTATTTCATTTGAACTAACAAATACCAAAATTATTATGAAATTTTACTTACTATAAAATTACTATTATATACATTTTCTGTAAAATCACTTACTGTATCTAACATTCATTCATATCTTGAGTTCTTCTTTTGCTTCATAGTTATGGTTATGGTACCGGTATGGTAGGTGGGTGACGGAATATGTGTGTGTGTGTGTGTGTGTGTGTGTGTGTGTGTGTGTGTGTGTGTTTAGAAAGTTAAAAAAAAGTCCTGGGGACTAGGTGTCAAATGTCAAAGAAAATATAAGAATGGAAAAATAAAGGATTAATTAAATGGTCTAGAAGAACATCAAAGTGAGAAGAGAATAAAAAGAAGAGAGCAGTCACACGTGGCTGCAATTGCCTGTGAACCTCAGTTCTTAAGAGGCTGAGTCAGAAGGATCACAGAAAGTTGAAAGCCAGTCTTGCCTTAGATAGTGTCTTCCACATCATCCTGGGATCTCAAGAAATGAAAATAAATAAAGAAGGAAGTAAATAAAAGGTTAAAGCAATGAGATATAAGATATGTGAGCTTGGGAGTCAATGGTATCGCTCCCAGTAAGTCTGACACACTCCAATCAATAATCACATAGTCTAAGAATATACAACCAGCTGTCAGTTGGGTTCAGTGAGGTAAAACAAATGTGTGGGGCAGTAGTGGCACACGCCTTTAATCCCAACACTTGGGAGGAAAGGCAGGGGTATCTCTGAGTTTGAGTCCAGCCTGGTCTACAGAACAAGTTCCAAGACTTGTTATACAGTCTTGCTATACAGAGAAACCCTTGCCTCAAAACACTACCCTCTCCCACACCCCACCCCCCAAAAAAAGAAAAGAAAACTAATAATGACACAAAGTTGGATGGGTATGGAATGGGGTGGATCTGTAAGAACTTGAGGAATAGGATAAATATTATCAAGATACAATGTATGTATGTGTGTATGTATGTGTGTATATTATTCTTAATGACTTAGTATGTATGCAAACATATATATATATATAATTACCTTTGATCTTTTTATTTACTATTTCAGTAGAGAAAATTTCTTTTACTCTTTGGCATACGGACCCTTCATCAGTTTCAGCATTGACTTCTCTTAAAATATTTTTTGGCATTGTAAACCAGTCTTTCAATGGTGGCCAGTTGTCCAAGAAGCCAACAATTCTGAAAAACACAAACATTATATGAATAGGTGATTCTCTTTTAAACGTTTTAGTAAAGAAACATTAAACATGATATTTAGTGTGATTTATTTGGCAATTCAGGATGAAGAAAGAGGTAGACTGCCAAGGGAATTCACCCCCCCCCCAAAGTAACTTTATGAAATCCATAAGTGATGGAGCAATACTAAATTTAAAGAACATGTCTGATGGCATCAGGCATCAGCATTTAGTATTTTAGAAGTATGGGTTAAAGAGAGTTGAAAATGATACCCATTCAGTAAACATGTGGTATAAGTTAAAGTCTTGGTGGAAAAACCAAAGATAGCATCATCCACTCCAATGCAGAGTCAGGCTGGGGACTCTTCGAATGGGACCATAGCTCCACCATGCAGGCCATAGATTTTTTTTTTTCTTGAAGATACAAAGTGAAGAGTTCTTTAGGCAAGGAGAGATGGTATAGACAAGTTTGCTTAACTGGAAATTATTCTTGAATCATTGCTTCCCTCCCTCTGCCCTTGAGCATAGACAGCCTCGGGCAGCTCAAATTATGCTTCCTGCTCAATTTTTTTATTTTTAGATCTCCCAGGCTTGCATGAAATTGCTGAATTTTGACTAAATTTTCTTTTCCAAAGGAAAATCACACACAATTCAGAGAATGCCAAGTAACTTCATTTTAGTGAAACAGAGGGCTACTACATGCTTTTCCAGTCTGACTTTCAGCTCTTTGAAACTGTATGGTATTCACCATTATTATATAAGTGATTGCTGAATTCCATGTAATTAACTCGTCAGTATTTTCTGATTGGCTTTCTTTCCCATACTATGACAATGGTGGCTCCAAGCACAAAAGCTTACATTCAATATTTCACTCAATGCAAAACTTATTTTTTATTTACCTGTAAAAAGATTCAAAGGTAGGGAATGTATCTTTTTTGTAGATCTTATTCTTCCCAAGTCACCACTGTAGCCTCTTTGAAGGGCAAGGAATAGAAAGGGCTCAAAGTTTAAAACTGACCTGTGATGTATCTGCTCTCTTAAGTTCTGGTCCTCCTTTCTTTCACGTTGGTCAACATCTTCAGGAGAAATTTCACCTGAGAGTTCTTTAGCTATGGCACAAAAATCACCTAATTATCACCTAATTAGACAATTGACTAAACCAATCAAATTTACAACTTACTGCCAAAGCATACTTTTGCAAGATTCCAGGTGGATATAGCCATATTTTGGTCCAATATCACTCCAGTGTGTTTTATTATTTATATTTTTACATAGAATATATTTTGATCATATTCTTTTCTTTCCCCATCTCCTCACAGATGCTCCACTACCTCCCTACATACCTAACTTCTTGTTAGTTCTCAAAACAAGCAAACAAACAAACAAACAAACAAACAACAAAAATAAAAGTACAGGTCAAAACAAATAAGAATGCAGTAAGAAAAAAAACTATTAAAACAAACAAACAAACAAACAAACAAAAAAGAATGCATGCACAGAAGTACACACACACAGAAACAATAGCGACAAATAGTGGAGTCCATTCTGTGTTGACCAACTACTCTTGAGTGTGGACCCTGCCCTTGAGTGGGGCTTATATACCTAGTGATGCTCTATTGGAAAAAATGATTTTTCCTTTTTAAGAAGGCATTAATTGCAAATAATTTTCTAGATTGGGATGGGATTTTTGTCTTTACTTCCCCTTCTCCATGCTTCAACTTTGTCTTGTCTTTACTCATGTAGGTCTATTTCATGCTAGCACAGTCTCTGTGAGTTCATATATGTCTCAACTCTGTTGTTTCCTTAGAGTCATTCACCACTTCTGACCCTTAAAATCTTTGTGCCTCCTCTTCCACATGGCTTCTTCGGGCCTTTAAAGGAGCCGATTGACAGAGGCACCCAGTAAGGGAAAACTGATTCAAAGCCTCTAACTCTCTGTTTATTGTCCAGCGGAGGGTCTCTTTATTAATTACCATCTATTGCAAGAAACAGCATCCTGAGTGAGGTATCTCAGAAGCAGAAAGACACACAGGATACATACTCACTCATAAGTGGATATTAGACATTTAATATAGGATAAACATACTAAAATCTGTACACCAAAAGAAACTCATCAAGAAGGAGGACTGGCTAAGATGCTCAATCCCCACTGAAAAAGGCAAAGAGGATGTACATCAGAAGGAGAAAACAGGGAACAGGACAAGAGCCTGCCCCAGAGGACCTCTGAAAGGCTCTGCCCTGCAGACTATCAATGCAGATGCTGAGACTTATGGGCAACCTTTGGGCAGAATGCAGGGAATCTTATGAAAGAAGTGGGAAACAGTAAGATCTTGAGAGGACAGGAACTCCACAAGGAGAGCAACAGAACCAAAAATTCTGGGCACAGGGGTCTTTTCTGAGACTGATACTCCAATCAAGGACCATTCATAGAGATAACCTAGAACCCTTGCACAGATGTAGCCCATGGCAGTTCAGTGTCCAAGTGGGTTCCATAGTAATGGGAACAGGGACTGCCTCTGACATGAACTGATTGGCCTGCTCTTTGATCACCTTTTCCTGAGGGGGGAGCAGCCTTACCAGGACACAGAGAAGGACAATGCAGCCACTCCTGATGAGACCTGATAGACTAGGATCAGAAGGAAGGAGAGGAAGACCTCCCCTATCAGTGGACTGGGGGAGGGGCATGGGTGGAGAAGATGGAGTGAGGGTGGAGGTGGGAGGGGGAGGGAGGGAGCTACAGGGGGAATAGAAAGTGAATAAATTGTAATAAAAATAAAAATTAAAAAAATATCGAGTGATGCATTGATCTGTGGTTATACCAATATATCGTTAGTAATAATTCTACTGCTATGTTCCTTTAAACGAATAATAGTAATAGGTTTTCTTCTAATGACCTTGACCTATCTAATCCTAGATTCTTGGCTGTTTAAGAAGTGTCAGGTATGGGTTCCATGGATTGGGATCTAAATTCAACTTTTAAAAAAGTGGTTGGTTACTCTCATAGCATTTGTACCACTGTTTCATCAGTATACATTGTAGGCAGGTCTTTGTAGGTTACAGGCTTTGGAATTTGGTATTATTGATGCTTATTTTTCATTTTGGCATTGTGCAAAATACCTTTAAGCATCGTGATTGGCAGTTATTAGGCATGAAGCTTCTAGTTGGACAACAGCTCTATTTCCCATGTTTGATGACATATACAAGTGGTGTCTTCAGCAATATTGGCCCTATTATCAGATTATGGAAGGTAACCAATAGTCTTGGAAAGGCCCTATAATACTTGGATTGTATCTATGGGGATCTACAGGTCAATGATTAAACGAGATATAACCCATTCTTGCCTGGAGGTCAATTTTACTTGGTGGCATAAAATGTCTACTTGGCACAGTATCTTCCCCATTATATGATGACTCCATTTAAATTCCCTTAATAAAGTATTTATGTATTTTATGATTGTTCTACATTACTAGGTTTCCAAAGGAATTCAGGGTAAAACAAGAAATATAGGGAGGAAAAACAAACACCCGAGGTAACTTGAAAAGCCACTCTTTAATATATTTTGAAGGAGGTTTAGAGTCATAGAAGACATGACCACTGCTGCAAGAGTGGGTGTTACTATTTTGGGGTGACCAGTGTATTTATAATTAGATATTAAGCCTGCTCCACAGAATAAAGTCAGTGCTTGCTACTCTACATCTGGTCAAAACCCGTCACTAGGGAGTTCATAGGCCTTATAGTGGTACTTACTATTGTTGTGTAACTAAATGGTCATGCTTTCAAGCTGACTTCTAAATATTTATCTTTATGCACATAGATCTAGGATGCTATCACAATTGGTCAGAGAAGCTTCTTTTTGCAAAGAACAGGAGTAAATACAGAGGCTCATAACTGGACAAATTGCAAGAATAAATAACTATAAGTTATCTGAGGCTCAAGGAACCAAGAGTCAGTGGGAAGAATGAAAGGTTTGGAGGATGAGGATGAGGATGGTGTGTTTAGGATATAATATAGGTATTGCATTCATGAACTCTCAGCAGCTGTGTTCAACTATACAAGAGCTTTACAATATCAAGCCAACCCAAATCTTGGCATGGAAGGAGAAGCTCACGAGGCCCTACTACTGGCCACTGGTAGTTGATAGAAAAATCATTCTTCTTTGGGGGTGTAGCACTACTTGGTAGTTCATGCTCCCCTGGATAGTCCCATAGTCATCCATTTGTTTCTAGCACTAACTGAATTTATGAGTTAATAAAACAAAACAAAAACAAAAATAAAAACAAAAAAGGACAGGAGGTTGGGAGGGGAATGTGTTTGGATGGAGCCTGGAGAGAGTTGAGTTGGAGAAATGTTGGGTAGACACAATCATATTTTATTGCATATATGTATGAAATTCTCACAGAATAAATTTTAAAAAATAAATGAATGAATATATTGATTATAGAAGAAGAGTTCATGAATTTAAGAGAGGAAGAGAAGGACACAAGAGATGTTAGATAAGCAGGCAAAAAAATGATGAAATCAGCATTGTGAAGTAAAAATTAAGAGTGAAATATGGAGGCCACAAAGCCAAAACGTTAAAGACTATTTACTGATACTATACTATGATAATGTGAAATATTTATAACTCTTTCTACTAGAGACTTATGAACTCCCTTTAGAATAGCTGTAAAAAAAAATTGACTATTAGAAACAAAGAAGAATTAAAAGGAAGCAATTTCACCATTTTTCACTAATGAAACTCATTTCATCCAAAATGCAAAATACCCATAAACTGAGAGAAGAATGCCTCAAGCTGTACTAAAAGAAATTAGAATTAAAGCAAAACAAAAAACAAAAAACATTGGAATGTGATTTAGTACCATTCATGAAAATGAAGGATCTCATAAGTGTAGTAATTGGTTTCTCCCATCTACATTAATGAGAAAACAAGATGAAATGGATTTGGAATACAAAAATCATGATTTTTTTTTTTATAAAACCTATGTTATCCAAAGTCAATATAACCTAGAACCCCTGCTCGATGTAGCACATGGTAGCTCAGTAACCAAGTGGGTTTCCCTAGTAAGGCAAATAGGAACTATTTCTGATATGAACTCAATGACTGGCTCCTTTATCTCTGTCTCCCCCCCCCCCCCCCCAAAGAACAGTCTTTCTAGACCACATGGCAGCCAGTCCTGAAGATACCTGATAAGCTGATAAGCTAGGGTCAGATGGAAGGGGAGGAAGACCTCCCCTAGCAGTGGACTTGGAAAGGGACAGGGAGGAGATGAGGGAGGGAGGAGATGAGGGAGGGAGGGTGAGATTGGGAGGGAATGAGGAAGGGCGCTACGGCTGGGATACAAACTAAATAACCTGTGATTAATATAAAAAATAAAAATTAAAAAAAGAACACCTGAGCTAGATCAACAGGAATGAGAATTGTTCAGAACAAACGATCAGAAAGAATACATTAACAGCATTCTAGGCAATGAAGGGTGCAGTAATCAGTTGTTTCCTTTCTACAGAATAGATGATTGAAAAAAATGGGGATGCTTCAACTTCTTTTTCTAACAATTATAATTTCTCTGACTTACTATACCAGTTGTGGTTGTCTATCATCTGTCCTGCTTTCACAATATTGTGAAATATTGTGCTGCTTGATACAATATTCTGACAAAAAGTAACTTAGGGGAGAAAGGTTTTAGATCGCAGTTCCAGACTATGGTCCATTAACGTGGGCAAATCAAGGCAGAGACCCAATGTGGCTAGTCATACCAGTAGTTAAGAGCCGAGGCAAATGAGTGCTTAAAGCTCACTTTGTTTTCTATGTTCTTAAACAGCTCAAGACCAGAACTTAAGGAAAGGTGTTTCTCAAAATTGATTTTTTTTTTTACATCATTTAACGGAATCAAGCTACTCTCTCCCCACAGACATGTCCAAACGCCAGTCTTATCTAGGCAGTCCTTCTTTGAGACTATCTTCTCAGGTGAGTCTACATTGTGACAAGTAGAGAATTTAATTATTTCTCTTCCCAGAGTTACTATAGTAGGCATCTCTAACTTAGAACAACAACAAAACACAGACTTAACTTCAAACTAATTATCAGAAAGAAAAAACAAAACAAAACATT